CAATAACATCCTGTCTAAAGACCAGAAAAAAAAAGCTACAAGTGGAGAGTAGAGGAGAGAGAGAGAGAGAGAGAGAGAGAGAGAGAGAGAGAGCGAGCGAGCGAGCGAGCAAGAGCAGAGGTGGGTCAATGGTTCCTAATTGCCTTGGTCCAGGAGTGACACAGTCATTTCCTTCAGAATGTTACAATGTCACCTGATGTTCTCTCTATTGATGTCAGGGTGCTAGGCTTCAGACACTAGTTACATACAACTTGGACAGCTGCTTCAGCCTGCTGCCTTGGCTGCTGTGTTTCTCCTGAGAGGAAGTGGGAGAAAGAGATGGCTGTGGACCTACACTCAGGCCAATATCTGTCTGGAATCTTTCTTGTAGACGGCAACGTTTTGTACAGTGGTGTGATGGTTGTGCATCATTATCCAACCTAAGTCATTGCTTACTAATTGGAACTCAGACCTGTTTCTTTTTTTTTCTTCCTTATAACTTTTTCTGTTGTGAGGCAGCAAGTGACAAGCACATCCAGTGGCTCCTGGGGGCAGATGGCGAGGTCTGGGTCTGGATCATGGGAGAAGGCCCTGGTGACAAGCCCTATGAAGAGATCTCTGAGGAGCTGATTGCAGAGAGAGCACGGCTGCAGGCACAGAGGGAGGCTGAGGAGCTCTGGTGAGAGTTGCCATGGTGTTGGGTGGGGTCTGAACGTGGAGCCTTAGGGAAGGTTCAAGCAAAGATAATAGGTTGTGGGTGGGAGGGAGGAGGTGCCAGGTAGCTGGCTGGCTGTTTTCAGTTCTGCTAAGATTAGGCGACCAAAGCATCAGAGTCTTACATTAGGCAGACCTTGTGGGTTCAAATCCTGGCTCCATCAATTAGTAGTGAGCTAATCCGGGGCCTCAGTTTTCACATCTGTGGTATGGGTATGATATCAACACTTTTCAGAGGGATATAGTTTGGATTCACTGAGACAATGCATATGGCATGCTTTTGCTTTTTTCTTCACTGAGTTTCCCTGGGACAGTGGAGCAGCTTGGATTCACTTTTGTTATCTGCTTGTTCCTCTTCATTTTACCTACATTTCTCACACAAGATAGGCAGTTGAGTCTCTAGTGAGATTTGGAGTCAGACGTCTTTCATAAACAACTTTTAATATTTTTCGCCAAATTTGGAAATCTGAAATTGACTCCAACATTCCCCCCACCCCACACCCCAATTTGTAATGTCAGTGTTTTAATTGTAAAACTGTAACAACTACCCAACACCCACCACCTAAAATAACCATGGTAAGTAATAAAATGCTCCTCGACTAATGATGGTGTTGCATTCCAATAAACTCATCATAAATTGAAAATATAAGTCAAAATGCATTTAATACATCTAACCTACTGAACATCATAGCTTAATCTTGTCCCTTAAACGTGCTCAGAACACTTACATTAGGCTACAGTTGGACAAAATTATCTAACACAGTTAATACGCTATAGAGTAAAGATGTTTTACCTTCGTGATCCAGCATGGCTGACTGGAAACTGAGGCTCGCTGCATCACCAGAGAGAATCTACACCATATAGCTAGCCTGCGAAAAGATCAAAATTCAAAATTCGAAGTATGGTTTCTACTGAATGAACATCTTTCACACCATCATAAAGTTGGAAAGTTTTAAGTTAGGGACCATCTTTACACAGTTTGTAAACTGCTTTATTCATACCTCGATAAATTGATTAATATAGAACCACGATGTTATTTAAGATTATTAATATTCCATTACATGAGAACCCAATTTACTGGTCCTGTTTATGGACATTTAGGTTGTCATTTTTTAATGTTATTAAAATCCTCTGATGAACATTTCTACAGACACCTTTGTAACCTTGAGTGAGAAATGAGATTTTGGAGTCTTTTCTTCTTGGCTTCCGGAACAATTCTGCTGCTTTACACTCCTATTCAGGAGAGAGTGTCTTTTTCTCCCCACCTTTGCCAACAGTGAGTTTTGTTGACTTTAGACATTTGCCATTCCGATAGAGTAATACTGCCTGTAGTTTTGATTTGAAGTTCTGTTATGTGGTTCTTCAGTCTTCCTTACGAGCTTATACCTGCTGGTGCTCTCTTGGAAGGAAACAGAAAGAGGCGGAGATCACTAAGAAGTTCCGAGAGGCTCTGGCCAATGAGAAAGCCCGGATCCTGGCGGAGAAGTGGAAAGTGGAGATGGAGGACCGCAAGGCTGCCAAAGTCCTGGAGGAGCGCATTCATGAGGAATTCAAGGTGAGCCAGCGCATGGGGCATCTGCGTGCGGCCACCTGTTCTAGCTCCTAGGCCTCTGGGGCTGATGTTAATTTGGACCAGTCCTTGGCTTTGGGTTGGTCTTGAGTGCTTTATGAGAACACAAATCTGGAGTATCTGAGCAGGAAGGAACTTGACACATCTCATTGTACAGAAGTGGAAACTGAAGGGGGTTTCAGACAGAAGAGACTTGCCAAGGCCATGTGTAGTTGGGGACAGAGCCAGGATCAGAACTAAGGCCTTCTGCCTCTCAATCTAAGGGTCCTGAAATGAGGCCTGGAAAGAGCTGAGTCTGTGGTCAGACCAGACTGGGCTGCAGGTCTAACTCTACTGCTTACTGCTGTGTGACCTTAGAAAGCAGTATTTCTGAACTTCTCTTTCTTGTTTGTAATATTAGAGTAATAACAACACTCAACTTGAGGTTTTTCGAAGATTCGAGAAATTGAAAAATGCATATTTTCTGGCTCTTGGATAGCTGTTGGTAACCTTACATGCCTACTCATTCTGGGAGAGTTTGGATCTGGTAGAGGAGCTTTAGAGACCTCTGTAAGAGGTTTAGGTATCCTAAAATAATATTTTTTCCTGATTCCTATTTTGAGATTTTTTTTTTTTGCTAAAGGAATAATATATTTTTTGAGGTAATAGAAAACTCAGAAAATGCATATAAGCAAAAAAATAGTAATAATAATTATGCCGAATCCCAACAATTGTATTATTTTGTGAAGTGTAGATTAATGGCATTTGCTTATATCAATTTTTTCGAAGCCCCTTTTCCTCCCATAATGTTTAGATAGTGAGAACATTGGCCCCTTACATTCATTTATGTTGCAAATGTTTTTCTCAATGTTGTGTTGTTTTTTCTTAATTTTGGTTGTATTGCTTTTGGATGTACAGAGGATTAAAAATTTTATTAGCCAACTATATCAATCTTTTTCTTTATTATGTATTTCATGCTTAGAAAGATCTGTGCCACCACGAACTTATGAAAATACTAATCTATATCTTTCATTGTTTTATTTGTATTTAATTTTTTTTCACTTTGGAGTGTGGTGCGATATAAGGCTTTCCCTTTATTTTCTTCCAAATGGTTAGCCATTTGTCCCAACATCATTTAGTATGTAATCTCTCCTCTTTCCTCTCATTGGACGTGCTGGCTTGATTCTTATTTCTTACTTACTTCTGGATATCTTAGTAGATTTTCTTCTTTGATTATTCCCGAGGCAGATTTATTTATTTAATTATTGTAGCTTTAAAATAAATCTTAACATCTGCTGTGCTAAGAACCTATAATTACTCTTCATTTCCAAAATGACCTTAGCTAATCTAACTCATTTTTTTTTCTCCTAGAGATACAGTTGAATTATTTTGTCACTCTCTTCCTTCCCCAACAACAAAAAGAACACATGGTGATTTTCACTGGAAATACATCAGTGTTATTTATAGCTGTATTTGTGAAGGGTGGATGTTTTTACAATTTTGAATCCCTGAATCTTCTTGTTCAGGAAGGTGTATGTTCTTCCTGTCATTCAAAGCTTCTTCTTGTTTTCAATAAAGTTTTTTTTGTTGTTGTTTGTTTATGAACATCTATTAATGCACTGGCCACCTAATTCCAAACCTTCATAATAACATATGTGCTTCTTTGTGCTTCTATTTTTTGGACTTTGATAAAAATTTATTGTTTTATTTAAGTGCTCCACATTTCTCTTTTAGTTAAACCTTAGGTTTAATATTTTTTGTTAATAATGTGAATGAGATCGTTCTCATTACCTTAAAACCTACTGAGATTGCTTGTAATATATTTATAATGTTATTGATCTCTTTAATTTTCCCTTCGGTTATATATTTTTTAGTAGATTCTCTTGAGTTTTTAAGTGAAGTATACATGCTCTCAAAACATTTTATTAAAAAATTTTCAAACTTGCAGAAAAGTTGAAAGAAAAATAAAATGAATACTCATATATTCACCAGTTAAATTCACAAAGTATTATTATTTTGCCACATTTGCATTCTCTCTTCTCCTTCTCTCCTCTCTCTTCCTCCCACCTTCTTTCCCTCCTTCCTCCTTCCTCTTCCCCTTCCCTCCCTCTCTCAGTTTTCCTCCCTCCTTCTCTCTCTCTCTCTCTCTGTATATATGTATGTATCTATATATCTATACACATACACGCACACATACATACATACATGACCCTTGAACAACATAGGTTTGAACTGTGTGGGTCCACTTATTTGTGGATTTTTTCAATAAGTGCTGTAAATGTATTTTCTCTTTCTTATGATTTTCTTAATAACATTTGTTTTTCTCTAGCTTAATTTATTTTATATAAAGTAATATTATTTTATAATATTATTTTATTATAAGAATGTAGTAGATAAAACATATAACATAAAAATATGTATTAATTGACTTTATGTTATTGGCAAGGCTTCCAGTCAACAGTAGGCTATTAGCAGCTAAGTTTTTGGGTAGTCGAAAGTTAATATGGGGATTTTTGACTGTGCAGGGATGGGTGCCACAACCCTCACATTGTTCAAGGGTCAACTGTATATATGTATACATATATATGTATAAATATATGCATATATACACACATATATATACACATTTTTTTTTGCTGCTGTTTTGCTGAACAATTTGAAAGAAAGTTGCAGATATCATATACTCAGGTGTCAGCAATATATTTTCTATAAGAGCCAAATAGTAAATATTTTAGGCTTTGTGGACTATACCATCTCTGTCACAACTACTTCACCAGGCCATCGTGGAACAAAAGCATCCACAGACACCGTTTAAACGAATGGGTGTGGCTGTCTTTAAGGAAAACTTTAAGTAAGAGACGGAATGCAGATTTGGCCTGGTAGCCTTACTTTGCTTACTCCTGATCAAACCTTAAGTTCTTCAGCCGACATCTCCCATGAATAAGGACATTTTCCTGCATGGCCACGATAATCATTATCACCCTCTGTTGAAACTAACAATAATTCCATAATAGTATCTGAAATCCAGTCCATAGTGGAGGGATGTTCAGTTTTTATTGCCAGATTTTGCATATGATAAGTTGGTTGGGGAAGAAAACCAATACTTTTTATAAATCCTTAGCAGTGAGAGTCACCGGTTCTAATCTCTGGTCTCCTTCTTCCCCAAAGGAGAGCTGAGCCTCAGATGCTGGGAGGGTGGCTCAGTGGAGCTGGGATGCTGGGGTCAGTTCACAAGTAGGTTATGGAGAGATTGAGTTCCCAGAGGAGATTTTTTTGTTGATGGTCTCCATCAGAACCTCAGTGATGAGAGATGATAAATTGTGGGCTGCTCTATGGACCTGTTCACAGAGGGTTTAGTAAAGCCATCTGGCCAGGCCCTCAGGTTCACTGAGGGACCCAAATGTAGACTTTTGGTGTCATTTCCAAAGAAGTTTATGATTGTTTTCTGTTTGATTTTGTCTTTAAAATTAATTTGCTGAATGTGAATGTTCAAACTTTAATACACATAGTAATCCTGATTTGGTATGTCTGCATTTTGAAATTCAAGTAGCATCTGCCAGGTTGTGAAGGGGCTGATCAGGGCAGTGCCTGTTAGAATCGTCAGATCATGACTTGAGCTGCAATATTCTCTGTCAGAGCTGTCTGTAAATGAACTCCCCATGTGTTGTGAGCTCTTCATCACAGGAAGTGGTTAAGCGTAGGCTGAAACAGTATCTGAAAAGGTTTCTGTAGTGGATTAAATATGGCTGGCAGCAAGTTCTTTGCTACTCCTCCCTTTGAGAGGTGGGGTCTCTTTCCCCTCCTCTGAGTCTGCTTGGGTTTTGTGGCTAGTTTTGATCTGCAGAATGTACTTTGATCTGTAGAAATGACTGTAACTTTTGAGGACAGGCTATAAAAGATTTGCAGCTTCTACTTTTGTTCTTCTGGCAATGCTCACTTTTGGAAGCTGCCCATAAGAAGCCCATCTACATTATAGTACCATGCTGCAAGGAAACCCAAGCTAGCCAGACAGAGAGCAAGAGGCTGTGTGGAGGAGAACTGAGCACTGGACAAGCGAGTGCAGGCTTCTTAGTTTTTCCAGTGAGTGGCCTCAACCAAGCGATTAACCTCAACCAAGCGATTAACCTCAGCAGACACCGTGTGGAGCAGCAGGATCCCCAGCCAAGCCCTTCCTGAATTAGTCACCTACAGAATCATAAGCAAATAAAATGGTTGTTGTTTAAAGCACTACATTTTCTGGTAGTTCATTAATCAGTAATAGATATCTGAGACAACTTCTCCAAAAGAATTTATGCATTGGGTTAGAGATTGGCTTAGATCATTTTTATAGTGTCTTTCAATACCAAGATTCTAATATAATATCAGTCTTGTATGCGGCAATGCACCAACAACATTCATTTAACTTAATATTCTTTTTCCCACACCAC